ACGCAAAGACCAAACAAGAGAGTCGGCACCAAGATTATCCATAATACGATAAATTAGATGGTTTGGTATAGTGTGAAGTGATCGTGTGCTGCAGTTGGCCATAGTGTGATTTATTCGATGAGCAAAGTTTTTATCCAATGAATAGATACTAAAATAATTATTACTTTATATTCTCGTGTCAGAAAGTCATCTACAGTTGTTTATAGGATAGGTGTAGTTCAAGTATAAGAGACCATCTTAGGTGTGGGTGGATGGGTATGGATTCGGATGTGTGTACCCACACCCACACCCACACACCTTACTATTAAAATATCTACTTCATTCTTATTTCCGTTACACAGACTAACAGACTTGTAAGATATATAGGTACTGAAAGCCACCACGTACTAGAGATATCAATTTTTTCCTTTTGGTATTCATATAGCACACCGTTTGTCGTGATAAAACCCCTCTGATACAAAAGATATCGTGTAAAATGCGTAGCCTGAATACAAATAGCAGAATTGTACTTACCGTTAAATATTGTCGAAGAAGAACGATGAAATACACTACCTGTGAATAGGAACGAATGCAAAACAGCTAAATAATAATGCGAGGAGCACATGCTTTTATATTCTTCTCTTCCTTCAGTGATCATTGATGCGTAAATCGTCTTTCTTTCATTTCAACACAAAATAAACAAGCAGTCAGACACACGAGCCCGTACTCAACACATTTTTCTCTTCGTACACGTAACGAAACATCACTTGTAATTAATGTATGAATGAGAAAAAACATACTTTAGTCGGCTCTCTCACATTAATGAAACATGATTGAGTAATACGATACGAAAGTATGTAGTCACACAATTTTCGTGTTCCGTTTTATAATCAGTCATCAGTTGTCGATGTTATACTCACTTCCTATCCACACTGGAACCAAAAATGGAGTCACTGAAGCCAAACAGAGTGGGTACGAATATTAAACCCATCACATATCCTAAACATTACTTTATTCTTTCAATAAGATTTTAGTTCCCTATTTAATCTATCACAGTTATTACTTAAAATATCTGTTATCGTTCCTTTTTCTTCTTTATTCCTCCTCTTTTACAAATACAAGAATCATCCTCTTCTTCACAATATTCACTCTTTAAATACTCAACGATATCAGTAGCACGTGAGGAAATGGAAAGAGAATCAGCATTCTTTATGGCATATGATATATCATGCCATAACACTTCCCCTCCCCACCGACAGAGAAAAAAGAAAAAAATAATATGATAGAACGAATACATCAGAAAACAACGATTAAAATAAGGAGTACATAAAGTTACAATAAAACTCAAAAGAAACAGAATAATCGAAAAAAAAATTTTTTTTGTTTGTTTTTGAAAAAAGATAGAAGTAATTCATGAAAGAGATAATCTGAATAAAAAGAAATGTAAGCACCCGATAGTGCATAGATGATACAGAATTAAAGTGAGAAAGAAAAACAATTAAAATGCTACGCAGCAGTTGATATAGTTTCAACACCACCAAGTATAAATTATGATGAACTTGCACGTTCATTTCTAAGAACGTTGAACTTGACCATATTAGAAACGGAGGAAGCAAAAAAGCGGTGTTCGTATGTGTTTGTTTGTTTCATAAGAAGAAATGATTAAAAACGAGGATAAACGGTGTGGGTGTGGGTGTGCGAATGAAATAGATAGAGCGAAGAATCACACCCACAACCACACCCACACCCACACCCTATGATCATATATTTAAAGGAAAAAACGGATATAGATAAAAAATAAATTTTGAAGGAAAACAAAGAGATGAAAAGAGAGATAAGAAACATTGTGTAGTTTTATCAGGAAAAATCTATCAGTACTTGTTATGATCGAATTTATCGCAGTTGACGTGGAATCTAGTATACATAAGCAGTTGAAAAAAACATACACGATATAAATGAGTTTTGTTTCGATGTTTTAGACATTTTTTGCACTGATATATAGCAAAGGACTTATTCAAATGAGGTTGAGCGACATGACTTCGACTGAGTGTGGATGAAATAGAATACTCACACCCTCAAAATGTAGAAGAGCGAACTTTTAGATGCATTCACGTTTCTTCGAGAACAAAAATCGTGCAATTCTATTTTACAAATATCAATTATATGATCTATTTTAAAGATTTATTTCGAAAAAAAGATTGAAAATCTATTTAGAATTGAATATAAGTCATTTGCGAAAGATAATATTTAGAGTCCAGCTTTGTCCAGCCTTGCTAATTCTCTTTTTTGATCAACATAAATCTAAAAAAATAATTTAGAATAGAAGATACAATAGATATTCACATACTTTATTGAGTGCTTCTAGTAATTGATCAATTCGATCAGGAAAATTTTCAATTGGATCAAAATATTGTGAACGCATTCGACAATCTCGTTCTTCTTGAATTTCTTCTTGATTTAATCTTTTCAGACCTAAAATATTAATAGACAGCGATGTTTTACTGAGATACATCAGTTTTGAGAGTAAGTATCGAAGTCTTTTCTTCAATCATACTCACATTCGCCCACACCCTCAAGATACCAATGAGATCTCAATCGACCTGAATAAATCATATAAATCTACATACCTGTCCATCGTAAAAATTTCTTTAGCATAAATAAAAATATAATTTGATCGTCTTTTTGATTCTTTTTCGCATGACGAAAACTATCATTAATTATTGAGAGAAACATATTTAAGCAAACAAAAACAACTAGAAATATAAATAACGTAAAACAGAATGGACCAAGAAATGCATCAGCTCCGCTTATTTTTGATGCATCACATTTGATTAACGTCATTTCAAAAAGCATTTGAGCAGTCGATAATAAACTTGAACATGACGAAAGCTTTGATACAAATAATAAATAAAAGAAACAAAGAAATGCTATAAATACGATTGCAAACATTAGTGGAAATAAAATCAATGACTTTGCACAGTATTTTAATGTTTCAGCAAATAAAGATACTCGTTGATTAAAACGAAGTAAATGAAGACATTTAATCATACTAAAAAAACAACAATAACCAAGAAGAAATGTTAAAATATCATTAACATAAACAGCAAGTTGTAAATTGATATAAATATAACCATTTGTTTGTTCAAATAATTGACTTATAAGATTAGTTTCTTGAAAACGCTAAAAAAAACTCTAATACTTCACAATGAACAACCAATGATACCTAATTGAGTTATTGACCAAAACTGATGAAAATATTTCAGTCTTTGTTAGCGATGACTCAAGTCATCACTCTTTCAATGCATGTTTTATTGAAAATGTGATACGTAATCACATTTTTCCTTTTTCATCTCTTTTTCTTTTTGAGTCAAAAATGTAAACATACATTACATTTTTTCCTTTTTCGTTTCTTTTTCTTTGAGTTAAAAATGTAATCATATATTACATTTTTTCCTTCTTTTCTTTTGGTATATATACTATTCATTTTCTTTGATATACGTGTTCCTTGTATTAAATAAAATCTATGAGATATACTCATATACAATTTTATTTATTCTCTCATAGCCCTACAGACAGGCTAACAGTCTTAATTCAAATATTAATTGAATTTCAATGATTATAAAATAAATAATAAAAAATATATACAAAATTATACAAACTAATTGTAATATTGATGTAAATGCTAAATTTAAAAAACGAAAATTCATTGAGGGTGTGGGTGTGCGTGAGGATGTAGATAACTAATCAACATTCATTTACACCCGCACGCACACCCTCTGAGAGTAATTATTCAATGATTATATGTTATGTTGTTTTGTAGAGATCAATATGAATTATTAATAGGAAATAAAAGATTAGTGTCTCTTTAAATATATTCGTAGTTTATAGATTGCCCCTAGTTGTGAGGGACCCACTGAGAGTGAAGTAGATAACATAATTAATTATACAACATATAAAGCAATGATTTTATTCGAAAAAAAAATAATATGTTGATTAAATCAAGTTAAACAAAAGCAATACAATAATAAATATGAATCTAATCCGAGTTCGATATATAATAATGGAAAATTAGTATAATTAAACACCAGCTCTTTTTAATTTTAACAATTCTTTTCTTTGATCGATATAAATCTAAAATAATAGAGTAATAAATAATTTTTAAATGAAAATAAATTATTATATTGCAATATACTCGATCGATTGCTTCTAATAATTGATCGATTTTATTAGGAAAATTTTCAATTGGATCAACATATTGAGAACGCATTTGAGAGTCTTGTAATTCATAAATTTCTTCAACATTTGGTCTTCGCAAATCTAAAATATCAATAAATAATTTTTATTTAAATCTTTAAAATATTTTTTACGTGTCCAATTTAAAAATTTCTTTAACATATATGAGAAAATGTGTGGATCTTCAATTGGATTTTCTTCAACATGATGAAAACCATCATTAAGTATTGAAATAAACATACTTAAGCATATAAAGACAACGATAATAACAAAAAGTGAAAAACAAAATGGACCAAGAAATGGATCAGCTCCAGTAAAATCACGTGCATCAAATTTCATTAATGTTATTTCAAATAACATTTGAGCTGTTGATAATAAACTTGAACATGATTCAATACTTGATGTAAATAATAAATAAAATAATGAAACAAAAGCCATAAATACAATTGAAAACATAAATGAAAATGAAATAAGTTCTTTTGTAACATATTTAAGAGTTTGAACAAATATTCTTAATGATTTATTAAACCGAATAAATTTAATAAATTTAATTGTTCCAAAAAAACAACAAAAACCAAGAAGAGATGTTAATACATCATCAACATAAGCTATCATTTGTAAATTAACATAAACGTATCCATTTGTTTCGAGAAAAAGTGAACTTAAACGATTATATTCTTTAAAACGCCAAATATAAATAATAATACTTGTAATTGAACAACTTATTATACCAACTTGAATTAGCGACCAAAATTCATAAAAATATTTTAATTGTAATTTACTTAATAATTTAATTTCAATAATAAGAAAATAAATAATAAAGCATATATAAATAATTGTACAAATCAATTGTGTTAATGATGTAAATACTAAATCAAAACAAAATTGTCATTATCATTTAGAATTCGAATCTTATCAAATAAAGTATACAAGTAACGCTCGTCTAGAGACTAGCTCAGTTCTTTCTCGTAGAATCGATATGTCTTCGCTACCAGTAAACTATCTATTCAAACAATCTCAAAAACTAACATCAAATTCGAAGTCCCTGCATCGAAATACCTCTAGAAATGTGTTTTAGGGAAAATTACGTACCATAGAAATTAAGAGGTTCAAAACGAGCTGACGGAGAAATTCCACTTGCAGATAAAAATTCGAGAAGAAAAGTAACTGAAGTAAATAATGCAACATTTGGATTATATAAAGTTAATTGAATGATAACAGCTCTTGTGTTAGCATCGATCCATTGTAATTGATGAAGTTTAGATAAATTACTTTTGATATCAGATAAACGACCACGAAATTCATATACATAACCATCTCCACTATATGTTCCATGATCACCTACATAAGCATATGTATCCAATTCTTTACTTGATTGATATTGAAATGCTTTTAAAATTGATGAACTATAATCTTCTTCTTCTTCTATTGATGTTTGATTCAGTATCCATCCTGGTTGAAATGAATCTTTTTCTTCATTAAATAAACTATAATCATTTATACATGTTGATATTATACGTTGATCAGAACATAATTGTGATTTACTACGTAATTGTCTCATTGTTGCCCAACCGATCATTCGATTTGTTTTATCATTTATGTATCCATTTAAATTTATCGGTTGATCATCATTATACCATTCTTGAGCTCGAAGATTTGAAACAAAACTATTATTTAACCAATTCCAATAATCATCAATTGTTAAAATCTACAAATATTCATTGTTATATATAGAACAAAAAAAAACAAAGTATACTTGTGTATAATCACAATCTGTTTGTCTTGTATTTAGAAAATATTTTTGTAAATGATCAGTTTGATAAAAACTATTTTGTGTACCATTCAAAAAAGCTATTACAAAAAGTAATGCTAAAAATATGGCATAAATTATAAATTCTCGAATAATTGACCACATTTGAAGTTCTTTTAAACGTTGTTCACGAAGAAAAGCTACTTCATTTTCATTTAGACGAGTAATACGTTTTGAAGAATTTGAAATCAATGAAAAATTATTCGAATGAAGATAATCTTCATCACCATCTAATTCAAAATTAGTCTCATCTATATATTCTTTTGCTTCTTTATCATCATTCGAATTTCGACAAAACAGAGTAAAAAATACTGCCAAACCTAAAATCTTCAAAAAAGAAAAGAAATTTCTTTAAAGTAAACTAAAATGTCTAAATATATACTTTAATTGGTTGAGTAAGAATAATTGATGAGAAAAAGCCAGTAAGAACAGATGTTAACCATTGTTGAGTTTTTAAATCACCAAATATAATTCCTTTGACAATGATAAAAAATATTGAAACAGCAATTATCACAAAAGAAAATGTATAAGCAATAAATAAACACCACCAAGGAAATGTGAATTGCTGTTTTTTATTTTTAATTATAGTCGTATCTTTTGAATTACTAAAAATATAAAATGATTAAATCAAAGACAATATATTAAGTTATACTAACGTGTGTGGTAATGATCTTATTTTCTCCATTGCTTGACGTAATGGTGAAATTTGTCGACGAGGTCGAATACGTCGAAAGAATTGTACTATGAAAATACTTGGAACTAACGAGAGTAATTCAACCATTATACCAATTCCAATCTTAAATAAATAACAATATTTTCAATAAAATGATTAGTTTATGAAATTTAGTGTCATGTCATCTTTAAGTATATTCAGCTTAATTCTTTTTGATATAAAATTATACGTACTTGTTCTGGTGCTATATAAAGAGGACCAATTGATAGACTATTACTTTCTGTATTATTTGTCGATTTTGCTTCGGCAGATAAATCATAGTACATTATATTAAGTAACATTGAAGCAAATAATAAAACAAAACAACAAGTACAACGTTGAACACGTGTAAATTTATTCGATGGTGGTCGAGAGAAAATTGAAAACCATAAATGACCATCGGATATACTAAAATAAGCTTTTTTCGATAATACATAAGAGAAATTTTGTTTTTCCATTTCACCAGCAATGGGTAAAATTCGTTCAATCTAAATTTAGAAAAATGAAGAATTAACAGATGAAAAAACAACTAATTACAAGTCCATCTCCTTGTTCAACTGAAAACCAACGTTGAGCAATAAAATAAAATTTTTCCATTGTTTGTAAATCTCGAACAATAATATATTTTAAAAACCATGATGCTGATGAACCTTCTCCTGAATTATCGTGCCAAATACGAATATAGTTTAATAATCCTAATGATCTTTAAAAACAACACATAAATATATGTTTTAAGTATTAAATGAATTTACTTTGGAACACTCATAATAAATGAATCAATTCCACCACGTTGAAATATTTTCCGATGAGGATCTGAAAATGTTCGAACACGTGTTTCATCATTATCACTCGAGAGAATAAAATGAACCTAATCAAATTAAGATTTATTTACATAACAAAATTCATCTTTTTTACTTTTGATTGTGTTCCAGAATTTGCTCGTTGACCAGTAAAAACAATAATTTGATAATAATATTGATCAGATTTATCATTATCAGGTAATGGTGTTACTCCTAATTTTTCAATATCTTTTTTATCTTTGAAACGTCCAAAAATCATCAAAATAATATAAGCAATAGACATACAAATAACTGTTAAATAAATTGTTTTATTTTTTGAAAAATCAGCATTTGCAAAAACATAACTCCAATTAATTGGTTCTGGTAAAACAATAAAACCACCAGCAAATGATGTTAAATGAGTTGAAAGACATTCTGTTTCATAATGATTTGTCAATGATCCAACCTATGGTTAAATAAATATTAAATATTATTTATTTTTTTAATCCATCTTATACTTACAATTAATCCATCTGATTTCCAATTATTATTTTCATCAAGATAATAACAACCTGATGTATATATACGAAGTTCATAATTTGATGTAAAATTAAATGGTTCATCGGTAATTGGTAAAGACGTATTTATTGAAGAATTATTTAAACAATAAGTATTCATTTCTGTTGAATTTAATTCTCTTATTCCAAATATTAATGACTGATGACCAGGTGTTTGGAGATTATCAATAAAATATCGATAGTTATCATCATTTGTTAAATCTATAATTATAAAAAGATTAATATGAATGTTGAAAAACAAAAAACATACTGGAAGGACAAAATACTGTCCATCCATCAATAAGATTAATTGAACTATTTAATTGTGGTGTTTGATCAAATTTATAAATAAATAAATAAGCAAGACTTTTATTTAAAGAATGAATTTCGAAATGAACTGAAATCGGAAGAGAACTTGTTATATTAATATAATGATAATTGAATAATAAATTATTAATAGTTGAATTAATTGATGTAACATTTTGTAAATACATTGATGGAATTAATACATTTGGATCACGAGGAATAATCAATTGTATTGGATTATTTTGATGAGCTGCGAAAGAAACTTCATTTCCATTTTGATCAATAATTGAAAGTGAAATTGATCTTGAAAGATTTGTATTTTGAAAATTTCCAAATGACGCAAGTGGATCTACTCTTGACTGAATAAAACAAAAAATAATTTAATAAAAATGATTCAAATTATAGAAAATTACTCGAAGTGAAATTGAAGAATTAGAAGTTGTGTTTAAAATAAAATCTGATGGAATATTAAATTGAGCATTTTCAACTTGTTTCACTATTCTATCTTTAAGTGATGCAATTGATATAGTTTCTAATGATACAAATGATTGAGATGTATTCATTAGTGAACTTTGACCAATATTTAAATGAATATTTAATGAAGATGTTAATAATGATATCATTTCTGTTACTTGACTATTGATTTGATTTGCTAATTGTTTTTGATAATAAAGATTTCGATTTTTTTCAATTGTTGCAGTAGAAAAATCATTTCCATCAGAAAATAAATCTTCAAAAAAACAAAAAATCAAATTCAATAATAATCAATCATTTAAAAGAATCTTACTTAAATTTGACCATTCAGATTCAAGATCAGTATCATAATCAGTAGATATGGCATTTGCACGAGAATAATCCAAATCAAGTACATTTGTTCGTCCTTGTAATGGTCCATTCACAGCCTAAAATTATTAGAATCGATAATTAAAGAAAAAAAAAATTCTTTTTATGTCAAAATTATTGAAGGGTGTGGGTGTGGGTGCTGATTTCATCTCGTATCATCGTCCACACCCACAGCCTCACGAGTTTGATAGAGAAATGAGAATACTAATTTTATATATTTTACATTTAAAAGATTTGAAGCACATTGAAAAAGTTGATTTGATGCTGATTGAGCATCTTCATATGAGATCTTTTCAAACATTGCATATAATGCAGCAGATAATTCATAACATCGATTTGATACAAGCATCTACAATTATTTAAAAAAGTATAAAAGTTTTCAATAAAAATATTCTTTATAATTTTACTAAAGTATTTCGTGTTAATTGATTTGTTGCTTGAGTTAATTGAACTAATGATGATGATTGTAATATAATGCTATTTGATGTTGTTATGAGAAGTTGAGTTATAAATGTTACTAGATAATCTCGAACATTTGCCAGAGAATTTAATTCCGTATTATAGTCAATTAAAGCTGATTCATTCAATGATGTTGAAACCTATTTTAAAAAAGAAAAAGAATCGAAAAAAAATCTATTAAATTCAATTACTTGTTGTAAACTTGAACTTCCTAATGGTGATACTGAAATATCTACAGCTGATATTCCACCTAGAAAAAATTATTTTAATTATCTCTCATAAACTGAATATGAATATTTACTTGATATAGCTTTATCTAAGTTGTCACCATTCATTTGATTGAATTCTTGTGATAATGCAATAAAAATTTGTCCAACAACATTTTGATTTCCACTTGAAAGTAATTGAACAATTGCATTATTTGTTATTGTACTCGACGAATTTGTTATTTTATCAATTAAATCATTAATTATGGCCAAATCTGCAATAACATTAACAGACGATATATTCACTTGTGTAACAGAACCCGCAAGATCTCGAACATAAACAACAAGATTGAGTAATGAAGTTTCATTATCACCAGCTGGTAATCGAACTTGAAAATTATCTTCTGGTGAAAATGCAATTATTGTTCGTTGTGATATGTCTGTTGTCCATGCTAAAATGACAGAAAGTACAAAAATCAGTCCATAATGAAAACTAAGCATACCATATAATGAATAATCTTGTATTCCATCTACATCATACCAGTTTGGACATGTAATATTGAATAAAGTAGTTATGGTACCATCAAGAGGATTGATTGAACACGAACCATTTGCAGGCGGTTGATTAATAATAAAATTCAATGCACTTGTACTTATTGCGGATTGAAATGTATAAACAACTTCAAAACGCCAAAGACTTATTTGAAGATTATTAAGAAATAATAGATCTGTTGCTGTGAAATTACTTGTATTTGTGCCTGAAATAATCAATAAATATATCTAATAATTAAAAAAACAAGATTTTTACCAAAAAACCAAATATTTTCATATAGAATCGTATTATTAAACAGTGTCCATTGAGTAGAATTTGAAGATGTTGAATTGTCCGATCCTTGATAAATATTCCATTTAATACTTTGAAGATTCGTACAAGTTCCAATACAAATAGTAAATAGAGCAACTTGTGTTGTTGGATTAAGAAGTTGAAATTCAAGATTTGGAACACACATTGATGATATTACACAACTAAAACAAACATTTATCACTAGGATAATTCCATTAAAAATTCATAAATAATTTACCCAACAGCAATCAGTTGTGGATGAGTAACTTCAATTGTAACAAGTACATAACCGGTTGCTTGAATAGAAGAATTCTTACGATTCTCCATGTAGACCATAAATTGATAGATTTGATTTAATTGAAGTGAACCACCGATAACTGTTAGAGATGAATTAGGTGATAAAGTTAAATTTCCGAATATCAATCCTATTCAATTATGAGTTTTTTTTATTTCGACATATAAAACTCACAACAATTAATATTACCTGATCGATTTGACAAACATGATGGATTATAAGGATCAATTCTTGAATCATCAACCGATAATAATATTCCTTGTAGATTTGGAAAATTATATAAATCATAAATTCGACAATAATACTTATATTTCCATTTCTATGATTAAAAATAAAAGAACATTTATTCAAGTATTCATCTACAGTTACATTACTTACAGTTGCATCAAATATATCTTCGTCAGGATCAACCGAAAATGTTCCAGGATCAAGTAAAAGATCTTGTTGATCACCTCGTGTTATCATAGATGTTCCTAATTGAACAAGATTTGCTGTTATACCTGTTGCAGTTATTCTCACATAAGCTGACGATGATGCTTTTAAATTTGGTGAATCAATCATTGTTACAGTTAATGTTAGCTGATAAACACCATACGCAAGAGTTCTTGATGGAATATAAAGTTCACTATATGTTGTCATAACTTTTTCATTTAATATAATATCAAATGAACAACTAGTTGAAGTACAATTTTTTATTGTCCATTTTTTAGTTGTTGAAAGTGAACCACCACAATTAAATTGAATCATTGAACTAATAGAAAAATCTTGACTACGTCGATACGACATTGGAGATGATAAAGATGATTGTCCAGGAATCAATGTAATCGTCGGTGAATAACAAGCTAATTTAGAAAAGAAAAATCAATAAACTATATTTTTTATATTATTCATATTATTACTTTCATTGATATACGATCCTTGAGAAGTTATGATAGGAGTCGTGCTACTTGAGGTACTGCTAGTGGTAGTAGTAGTACTAATTGTGGTACTGCTACTACTCGTTGTACTGCTACTTGTAGTGCTGCTACTGCTCGTAGTGGTACTGCTAGTGGTACTACTTGAAGTACTGGTACTGGTACTGGTAGTAGTAGTACTACTTGTGGTACTGCTGCTGCTTGTAGTGCTGCTAGTTGAGGTACTACTGCTGGTGGTAGTGGTGCTAGTTGAGGTACTGCTGCTACTTGTTGTAGTACTTGTGGTGGTGGTGGTAGTCGTAGTACTACTTGTGGTACTGCTGCTACTCGTTGTGGTACTGCTGCTAGTGGTTGTAGTGCTACTTGAGGTACTGCTGGTAGTAGTAGTACTACTACTTGTGGTGCTGCTAGTGCTTGTAGTAGTGGTACTTGTAGTGCTGCTGCTACTTGTTGTAGTACTTGTGGTGGTAGTGGTAGTAGTAGTACTGCTAGTGGTGGTCGTGGTAGTAGTGCTGCTTGAGGTGCTACTGCTACTCGTAGTAGTACTACTTGTGGTACTGCTGCTACTCGTTGTAGTACTAGT